CGGGAGGGCGGACAGCGCCGCCGCCCCCTGAGCAGATTAGCGGGCCGGGCGCTCCCCCGCCGCATGGATAAGGCAGGCGCGAAGGCGGCCGCGCTTCCCCGGGCGCTCAGCGGGCAGGGACCCAGAGTTGGCTTCTCTCTTACAGCTCTGGGGCATGGAGGGGAAGGAGAGGTGAGGAGAGCTGGCCCCCGTGCGCCCTGCCCCACACCACACCTTGGAGCGTCCAGCCTGAGGGGGACCAGCGATGCCTCTGGGGATGAATAAGCATGGATCTCGCTCTACTACCTCTTTGCCTCCGGACCCCACAGAGATCGTCAGGAGCAAGGCCTGCTCCCGCAGGGTCAAGCTCAACGTGGGGGGGCTGGCCCACGAGGTTCTCTGGCGGACCTTGGACAGGTTGCCGCGGACCAGGCTGGGTAAGCTCAGAGACTGCAACACACACGACTCCCTCATGGAGATCTGTGATGACTACAACCTGGAGGAGAATGAGTACTTCTTTGACAGGCACCCTGGGGCATTCACCTCAATCTTGAACTTCTATCGTACTGGCAAGCTGCACATGATGGAGGAGATGTGCGCCTTGTCCTTCAGCCAGGAGCTGGACTACTGGGGGGTGGATGAGATCTACCTGGAGTCCTGCTGCCAGGCACGTTACCACCAGAAGAAGGAGCAGATGAATGAGGAGCTGAAGAGAGAAGCTGAGACCCTGAGGGAAAGGGAAGGGGAGGAATTTGATAACACTTGCTGCGCTGATAAAAGGAAAAAGCTCTGGGACCTCCTGGAGAAGCCCAACTCCTCCGTAGCGGCCAAGGTAAGGTCTCCATGTATCCACTCAGGCTTGTCTGTACTGGCTCCAAGAGGACTTATGATATGATGCTTACGTGAGGTGGTACGCTGCTACCCTTTTGCTTTAGTGTCCGAACGCTTGTGGCTGGATGGATGCTATGAGTGAAAGGGAAAAAGGCTTCTCGGATGCAGACAAGGTTTAATTTAGCTTTTTTGGGAAGACTGGAAGAGGCTGGTTTTCAGTGTCCCTGGGACCAGTGTAGGCTGGTCAGCATGGGAGCTGTGCTACTGACCCCTGGGTCGGCACATGCTCTTTGCTGTACATTAAGTGGCTGGAGGTTGGTAGACTTTTTATCCAGACAGTTTATCTGGTCTTGATGCTTGGTGCAGCAGATTCTTCTGGGCCCCAAACATGAGTGTTTCCTATTGCTTAGCCAAGACTGTGTTTAAAAAGAGGAAATCTCTTTGAACTCAGATGTGTTAGACTTGGTTCAAGTCAGGCAGTAGTATGTTCCCTTCTAGGGCTTACTTTAAACTTTTCTGGTGAAATATACCTCCTAGGCATTTGTGTCACGCGCTCCTAGGCTACCTGTCTGCTAAAGTTAGCATTTGAATATCATCCTTTACCTGATTCCACCCTATTCTAAGTCTCCCTAATTACTCTGAAGCTGCTGCCAGTGCAACAGATCTATTTGAAAGCCTTTGGAAGATAAGATCCTCGGGAGAAATCAATGTCAGAGCTGGCTGATAATTTAGCTGTCTCATGTTAGTCGCCTATTCCTAAGTGAGGAAAATCTCTGCAAACATAGTGATTCAGTAACCATGGGGACAAAAATAGAGGGAGAGAGGTTGAAAACTGTAGGATGAAGAATGGGAGAGCATGACAGACCGAGCTTCAGGGACTGAAAACTTGAATTTTCTATGTACCAGCATTCTCACAACATGGCAAAGAAGCAGAAAGAGGCCCCAGCTACCTTTGTAGTGTCACCCACCTGCTGA